ATACTTTGCTGTTTAAACACGCGCATAATAATCTAAGTAATCCGCCGACTAGCTGTTTCCTCGAAAATAGACGGGTAAATACCAAAAATCTAATGACAAAAACATGTTTTTCCTATCAACCAGCTGCTTCAGATGTCCTTAGGGTTTCTGGAGAAATTTTTGGAAATTATTGAGAATAAAGAAAACAAATACGAAATAAAAAAAAAAAAGATCGATGCCAGCAATTTAAAAGAAAGGCGAATCCGAAAATGTAAAGTTCGATTACTCATAACGACTCAAAAAATTTTCTTTGTCTCACGCTTGTAACAAGACAAGCAACATCTGCTCCATCAATGCTCTCTACTGTTGTTTATTATAATATTGTAATAAATGTGCTGTCGCTAATACAACCATGCAAAAAATAAAAATGGCCTTTAGCGGCCAAATTCCCAAACCGACCATTAACGGCCAATGGCGGCTAAAACGACAGAACGGCCCTAAGTGGCCAAAATCCCTTGTTGTGGCCAAAATGACAGAACGGCCCCAAGTGACTGAAATCCCACTTATGGCCAAAACGCCAGAACGACAACTAGTGGAAAAAAAAAAACAGTCAATTGTGGCCAAAATTCCAACACTGCGGTGGCCTATAAGTTTCAAGGCAGAAACAAAAGTCACCGTAAGACAACGCCAACTCACAGCAAGATGGCGCCAAATTCTCACGGCGGAAGTGAGAAGCTACGGAGGAAGTGAAATGACACGGCGGATGTAACCTGATAACTATTCCATTACAGGCCATAATATGTTTTTATGAACTATGCCGGAATCTGTGGAAGTTGACCTGGAAAATGAATACTTGGAGTTGCCAGACGACGACGAAGAAAGCCTCACTCGCTATTATTTCTTCTGTGGTTTCGGGTATGAGTAACATCCTCAGGGAGAGGTTCTTAGTCACAACTTGGACAAAACATGATGAATAGGGAACCACAGAAAGATAGTACGAATCGTGTCGATTGTGTCCACGAACCACCAACGTTCTGGCATAGTAAACAATATAATGGTTTTTCTGTCACCGTACTTCCGCCGTGGCATTTCACTCCCACCGTGGCTTCTCACTTCCGCCGTAAGAAACTGGCGTTGTCTTTCCGTGAGTTGACGTTGTCTTGCCGTGAGTTGGCGTTGTCTTACAGTGAGGTGGCACTGTCTTGCCGTGGCACTTATGGGCCACCGTGCAAAACGGTCACTAGTGGCTAAAATGCCAAAACAGCCAATAGGGGCGAAAAAGCCAAATCGGCCACTTATGGAAAAAATGTCAAATCAGCCACTAGTGACCAAAATCGCAAATCGAGCACTTGTGGCTAAAATGCAAAAGCAGCCAATAATGGCTAAGATGCCAAAACAGCCGCTAATGGCTAAAATGACAAATGCCCAACAAGGCACCAGTGACCAAATGCCGAAACGGCTACAAGAGGCCAAAACGCCGAACGGCCATTAGTGGCAGAAATGCCATAACGGCCACTAATGGACAAAGAACCAGATCGGCCGCTTGTGGCTAAAATGCCAAAACGTTCACTAATGGCCAAAATGCCACGATAGCCACTTGTGGCCAAATTGACAAAAAGGCCACTAGTGGCTGTAACACCAAAACGGCCACTAGTGGCTGTAACACCAAAACGGCCACTAGAGGCCAAACTGCAAAAACGGCTCCTAATTCCCAATACAGCCACTAGTTGTAAAAAAATCGAAAAATTAAAAAAAAGTAGACATCGTGCAAAATGTACACGCCAGCCTTTTTTCAACGTGAAGGCCGAGGCCAAAGCCCCGACGCGATTGGCCAGTTCACAAAAAATCCCGCGAAAACGAAACAACGCGGAGGGGGGAGGGGAGAGGTGAAATTGAAAGTCAAAAACAGAAAGAAACATTCTACACTTGTAGCAAAATGCCAAAACGGCCTCCAATGGCCATAAAAAATACAAATCAGCCGCCACTTGTGACCAAAGTGCAAAAACGGTGACTAGTAGCAAAAATGCCAAAACGACCACTAGTGGCCAAAATGCCAAAGAGGCCACTAGTGGTAGATATGCCACAACGGCCACTAGGGGAAAAAATGCCAAATTGGCCACTTGTGGCCAAAATGCCAAAATGTTCACGAGCAGCCAAAATGCCGCCCCTTGTGACCGAAATGCAAAAACGGCGATTAGTAGCAAAAATGCCAAAAACGCCACTAGTGGCCAAAATGCCAAACTGGCCACTAGTGGCCAAACTGCCAAACGAGCCACTAACGGCCAATAGTTGCCAAAATTACAGAGCGGTCCCAAGTGGTTAAGTTACTTCTTGAGGCAAAAATGACAGAACGGCCCCAAGTGGTCAAAATGCCACATATGGCCAAAACACCAAAATGCCACAATATCCATTTGTGGCCAAAATGACAAAACGGCCACTAATGGTCAAAATGCCGAAACGCCCACTAATGGCCAAAAAGCCAAATGGGCCACTTGTGGCAAAAATGCCGAAACGTTTACGAATGGCCAAAATGCCACAATAGTCACTTGTGGCCAAAATGATAAAACGAGCTCTAGTGGCAAGAATGAAAATCAAATATCCTTATCAAATATTACTAAACAGTGGCGTAAAGGACAGAAAGTGAAATGCAGATTAATCTTAAACAAGTGATGCTTGAATGTGCTACATGCATCCTTCGAGGGGGTTAATTATCAAAAGAACAAAAACCCATTGTTTCAAGGAAACACTGGTTTCAAATCTAAATTACAATGAGAGCCAACCTTGTTAGTTGTTACATACATTGGCTTGGAGCTTATACATACTTTCCCTGATTGCATACCATGATCCTCTAATTACTAATCTTTTATATGTATATGACAAAAAAAAAACTTCATGGGACTAGCTCCTAGCTAGCTAAATAGTTAGAAAAAGCATTGAAGACTTTTTAAGACTTGGAAGGCAAGAGAATTAGCAAGACTCCTTGCATCAAATATCAGATTTCTTTTAGCCAACGTCGTGACTGGAACCACCTAGCTTTATCGACAGGTCGAAACTGAACAATTGTTACTGGTCAACTACCGTGGGCTGAGTAATCGTTTTAAACTATCAACTCTCATTCTGCATTTATTTAATCAAGGTATTTATGCTGCTTTTTTTTTCAGTTCAAACTCAGTTTTAGACTGCTATTAAACTGCCCACACGTCGTCAAAATAACTTGCATCAACCTGTGAG